CGCTTCTAAATGCAAAATTTCATAGACTCCAAGTTTGTATTAATAATGTATCGGTTGTAGCGCCTCGCCCGCAAGCGACCTCGGCGAAGTGATGATAAACGATTTCTCATACAAGTATTGTGTACTAATTAACTTTCTAAGACATCAAATGAACGATTTCATCTAATACCGCCGAGGTCGCTTGCGGGCGAGGCGCTGGGATTGATACATTATGAATACGAACCTCAACTTTACTAATTTTATGACTACGCGATATCAAATGTAGCGCCTCGCCCGCAAACGACCTCGGTGAAGTGATGATAAACGATTTTTCATACAAATATTGTGTATTAATTAGCTTTCTATGACATCAAAAGGTCGCTTGCGGGCGAGATTGTTTATCTTTAGATTACATGCCTAACTGAAAAATTAATATTGTAAGGGTTAAACCAGCAATTACTAATACTGGATATGAAAGTAAACATCCAGACGAACATTTTGAGGTATTGTCACATGACCACTACGATGTTTCATTATCTAATTATCTGAATTGGTTTTTTCTTTCTTATTATTTTATTTAAGAATGCAACTCGAGATAACACACGTTTTGTTCAATCATCTTATTTTGTGAAACACCTGTATATAGGTACTAAGTAAAGTGAATTTGAGGTTATGTTAGGTTTTACGTCAAAAAATTGATTTTCATATGTTTTGAATTAAACAAAAGTTTGTATTTACCTGTACTTAATGTAAAAACTGAAAGGATTTAGTCACCATCGGGTCCAGTTTGGGTTGAAACTAACCTCAAAAATGATCGATTTTGTCACCCGTTCTTTATTTTACGAACGGATATTAAAAAATTGTTTGGATTAGTCACCATATAAGACAACGGTTTTGGTAAATTGGTCAATTTGGCTTTTAGAGATACAATTCTATAGGTAATAGCAACATATATATACACTGACAGAATAATTTCTAGATAAGATATAATGTTATTAATTCATTATCTAGGGTACCGTTTTATGTGAAAAAGATAAAATAAATAATTTGCAACGTTAATAATAAAAAAAAACTTTCTCCACTTTTTCTTTTTAGCACCTCTCTTTAATAATGTTATAATATTAATTAATAACAAATAAATAACCTTCTTTACCTGCTTTAAAGAAAACGAAACGTCGCGTATGGATGACTTAATTCACTAAAAACAGTTCGCGTAACGCAACGTAAAGCCACATTAGATTAAGTATCACATTTTTTGTTTAGTATCACAGTATTTTTGCAAATGATTTGCACACCGTTTTTGAAAATCCCTTTCGTTCATTACACTCCCCAAAAGTATTATTTATCCGGTAATAGGGCTCCTCTCTTCGATAAAATCGTGAGAGAGAGATCGCCTTTTTTCTATTATTTCTTCTCTCCGTTTATATTCTCCCGTTATGATTCACAGTTTTAGGGAATTAATTTTTTTGTTGTTTTCGAAAAAATTTTTTCAACTAAACCCTAAATAGAATATAATGTCATAGCGAATAACGTTTTTATGCGAGTTTCGTGCACATCGCCATTATGGTGTTGTACCCGGTCATTTCTACACGGACCGATAGAAATGACATGTCCGAAACCGGAAACGTCACAACAAACTGAAAAAATTCTTTAAACCGAAAACGTTCGAATTACTCTTTTTACCGTCCGAATTCGGTTAACGGAAATAACACTTTGGGATCTATCGGGATTCCATTTTTCAGGGGCCAAGGAAACTATTTATTGAATCACGATAACAAGACTAGTTTTATATCGCGCATGCGCACCGATTAACAGTGTGCCCAATCGAAAATCCAACTCCATCGAAACCACTTTTATTCATAAATTACTTTATAAATATCGTTTCAAACTTATTTCCCACACCTTGGAATAACTCTTAAACGGCAATAACACAAAATCGTTACTTAATTATGTTTCGTTTCATTTGCCGCAAGGCGTGGTGATCATATGGCGAATTACCCTGGTTACCAATTATTTACATTTCAAATTTTCCCGCCTCTTATTATTTCTTTTTAACTTAAAATGTTATGTCACTTAATGAAACAAAGAAATAAGATATACATTTATTGCAACGTACGTAATTATACAATACATATAAATACTTTAAGTAAAAGTACATTTGGCCATGCGTTATTGATTGATAATTAATCATGTTTTAATGATTAAAGGCAAACGTAATAGGACTTATATAATAATAAAAACATACAAATACAATAATAATAATAAAAAAACGTCAACAATAGTATACAATTTAACGAATATACCATCATATAAGACAAGTCTTATATGCTAGCATATATAATACATGATATAAATAAATTAATTAGGATAAAACAACTAATACTTTCTTTTTGTTCTTCAATTCAATAAAAATACACGAAGAGAATTTAGTTAGTTTTTGTTAGTTTAGATAAGTAAAGATTTAATTAATTAATTAAAAATAATTCGTCAATTTAATTCAACAATTTTAGTTTTGAGTTAACATATATTATTTAGTTCAATAACAAAATATATTCGTTAATAAAAAAATAAAGAACATACATAGATCTTAAGAAACTGTTGGGTTGATCCTAGCGAATAGGCAACCAACATTATCCTCCAATACTAAAATTTAATCGAATTGGATATGAGATTCTTATACAAAGCCACAATAAAGTCTTCGTACAAATTAAATTTTAAAACTTTTACAAAAAAATTAAAGCAGATACACCCTAAAGGTAATAAAAAAGAGATGTATCCCCAAAAATGTTCATGTTCAGTATATTTTTTGGGTCTGATGGAACTGGTATCATAGCTCCTAAATGCCAAATTTCATGGAATTAAGGTTTGTGTTCATAAAGTATCAAACAGAGCGCCTCGCCCGCAAGCGACCTCGGCGAAGTGGCTGGAATTGACACATTATGAATACAAACTTCAACTTGACTAATTTTATGACTACGTGATATCAAATGTAGCGCCTCGCCCGCAAGCGACCTCGGCGAAGTGATGATAAACGAATTCTCATACAAGTATTATGTACTTAGTTTACTTTCCAAGATGTCAAGTGAACGATTTCATCTAATATCGCCGAGGTCGCTTGCGGGCGAGGCGCTGGGATTGATACATTATGAATACGAACCTCAACTTGACTAATTTTATGACTATGTGATATCAAATCTAGCGCCTCGCCCGCAAGCGACCTCGGCGAAGTGATGATAAACGATTTCTCATACAAGTATTATGTACTAATTTACTTTCTAAGACAGCAAATGAACGATTTCATTTAATACCGCCGAGGTCGCTTGCGGGCGAGGCGCTGGGATTGATACATTATGAATACGAACCTCAACTCGACTAATTTTATGACTACGTGATATCAAATGTAGCGCCTCGCCCGCAAGCGACCTCGGCGAAGTGATGATACATGATTTCTCATACAAGTATTATGTACTTAGTTTATTTTCCAAGATGTTAGATTGACAAAATAATTATATATGAACAAAACCATGGTAGAACATATTTTACCGAAGATATTGTTAATTTACGAGAATCGTGCAAAATTTCATTTTTTGCCATTTTAACTACATTGTTAAAACATTATTACAAACAATTTTTTTTTAATAAAGATATGTTTCACCTCTTCCAGGCACTAAGTATAAACATAAAATTTACTGAAATCAATTGAAAAATACCAAAAAATCTGATACCATCATTATTCATGATTTTTTAAATTATTGCTTATAACGAATCCATTTTTAGGTCCCTTGAGGGTTCTTTATATTCGGAATACACTCTGTACAAGAAAAAGACTACTGTAGTTTGATGTATTCGTGCCATTCAATTTTTGGATATTTATTAAAAATGAATACAAGAAACCGCCAAATTTCACAAAGCATTCGAGATTTGATTATTAGTTTACGAAAAGAGGTGAAATTAACAAAATTGCAAAAAAGCACGTTCGCCAGTACAATAAAAAATACAGCTTTGTACAGGGCGTCCTAGAGCATTAAGTGTTCTATTAAATAAAATGCGTGAAAATCCTAAAATAATGATCGCAAGCACACGGCAGAAATTGTGATGAGGGATGAGATAAAGCGCAAAATATTTTTCTTGTATTTATCTTTTTATAAATCCCAAAAACGTTCAATTTAGCAATAAATGTTACAGTTCGAATTCCTTGCATTTGTTTTATCATTCCTAACAAGCTTTTCATTACCTTGGAGGTGTATTTTTTTAATTTTTTTGTACAAATTTTAAAATTTAATTTGTACTGATACTTTATTGAGGCAGTGTACATAGTGTGTGGTAAATCCATCAAATATCAAAATGTACAAGACAAGAATTTCTTATTTGACTTGATGCAGAATTTGGCAATATTCTAATTTTTCTAATATTCTACAATAAGGCCTTTATTGCATAGCTATGGGGTTACATATCATGCAAGGCATTACAATAATTTAGGAATTACAAATTATTTGCATGCATGTACGCAAGACAAAAGTTGATTCAATAATTTCAAGTCAAAATTATTTTTGTGCTCAAAATGTGCGCCATTTTCTCTTATGCACAATTGGCACCGTTTTAATAGCTAAAATTATACCTAGTCTTATTTGTTCCTTGGCATGAATAATATTCTGATGAGGCTTTCTCATGGAAGAAGAAGACTCCAAGAAGGTGTCTTATTAGGTACATTTACCACAGCAGTGAAGTCGCCTTATTTAGATTTGGATTAAGAAAATTTTTTCTGTCTCTACAAATGTTTATAGAATCAAAAATTACATAAATTGATGACCAACAGTTTCTTTAGACTTCATATATGAAGATTATGTAAAAATTCAACGAAATGAAACAGATTTTAAATATGATATATAAAGTATAGCACCATTTTATTCTTTTCGTAACACTGTAATAATCACCAAACAGGCAATTATTACGGCAAACGTTCAGATTCGCTGTATTTGTAGCCCATATAACATTTCTTCAGGAGCTGCCATTCTTCTCCGTATTTTTGACTTACTATTACTTGGAGATATCGTGTCTAAACTGAATGATCTAAAAAGGAATTTTCATTTTTAGCTTATTTAGTACAATTTATAAAATTACTTACTGTGATACATCTGGTGATTCAGATCTACTAGATTCATTAGATCCAGTGTTAGTAGAAGAACTCATTTGTCCAGCTAAAGCTAAATGGTCTGAATGTAAAATATGATCTAATAATTGCCCTCTAAGTACATTTTCTTGTTTCAAGACGTGTAATAGCGCATCGTTTTCTTTTAATTTAGCATCTGATTGAGCGACGGCGTTGGTTTTGCTTAGGGTCATATTTAAAAGTTTTTCAATTAAATATTTCGCCTCATCCACTGTCGACAATGAATTTACCACTTGAAGTAAATTCGTGGCTTCGTCGTTATCTTGGGAATCCTCGATTTCCATCACGTTTTGTTGCGTTTCGCTTATTTTTTCTTGCAGGTAATTCAAATTCGCTTGAATATCTTCGATGTAATTGTCCAAAGCGGTAGTCTCTTGTCCGCGACGTGACATTTGATTTCTGCGGTCTTGAAGAATTTCCAATTCCTTACCTACCAAAGAAAAGTGTTCTTTTGCATTTACTTCTGTCGGTAAAAAAGAAATAAAAAAAAATATGTTAGTATACATGCAATTTGTTAAAAAAATTCTTATCAAAACATAACCATACTGTTAGATGTCACTTTAATTGTAAATAAACGTGAAGATAGTTATTGATTAATCGTTCAAATTGTTTGGAAAATTATGTTAAGATTGTCCAAAAAGTATTTATATGAACTAAGTTGATTGTGTTTATAATAATTAATTTAACAGTATATAGAAAATTATGACAATTGTAGTTTCTGTACTTTATTACTAGTTTATTAAGTTCTGTTTAACATGTTTCGACTTTGAGTCATCATCAGAAGCGTCGTCATGAAAAATTATATGTAGAAAAGGATTTTTGTATAAATAATTTATAATTTAATAAAATGAACACGTTAAAATGTAAAATTATTAGTGATTTCAAAAATTTATTTCTCAAGAACTAAAAGTGATTTTTCAAAACGGCTTTTTGCATTAAAAAGAGGATACTTTAATTAATAATTGGTGATATTTCCACAAGGATCCTTCAACAAATTAATTTGATAGCGAATTTTGAAAATTATCGCAACATCGAAAATTTTATCAAAACTTCAAATATTGTTTTCTCAAAAACTAAAAGTTATTTTTCAAAACGGGTTGGTTCATTGGCAAGAGGACACTGTTATTAACATTTTGGGAAATTTTCATATCCATTTTTCAAAAAATCGATTTTATACGAATTATTAAAATTTAATCGGCAAAAATTGCAAAATTCTCGATTATTTCAAAAATTTATTTCTCAAGAACTAAAAGTGATTTTTCAAAACGGCTTTTTGCATTAAAAAGATGATACTTTAATTAATAATTGGTGATATTTCCACAAGGATCCTTCAAGAAATTAATTTTATAGCGAATTTTGAAAATTATCGATGAAAATTGCAACATCGAAAATTTTCTCAAAACTTCAAATATTGTTTTCTCAAAAACTAAAAGTTATTTTTCAAAACGGGTTGGTTCATTGGAAAGAGGACACTTTTATTAACAGTTTGGGATATTTTTATACTCATATTCCAAGAAATCGATTTTATACGAATTATTAAAATTTAATCGGCGAAAATTGCATAATTCTCGATTATTTCAAAAATTTAGTTATCAAGAACTAAATGTGATTTTTCAAAACGGTTTTTTGCATTAAAAGGAGAATACTTTAATTAATAATTGGTGATGTTTCCACAAGGATCCTTCAAGAAATTAATTTATAGCGAATTTTGAAAATTGTAACATCGAAAATTTTGTTTTCTCAAAAATTAAAAGTTATTTTTCAAAACGGGTTGGTTCATTGGAAAGAGGGCACTTTTAATAACACTTTGGGAAATTTTCATATTCATATTCCAAAAAATCGATTTTATACGAATTATTAAAATTTAATCGGTGAAAATTGCAAAATTCCCGATTATTTAAAAAATTTATTTCTCAAGAACTAAAAGTGATTTTTCAAAACGGCTTGTTGCATTAAAAAGAGGATACTTTAATTAATAATTGGTGATGCTTCCACAAGGATCCTTCAAGAAATTAATTTTATAGCAAATTTTGAAAATTTTATCAAAATTTCAAATATTGTTTTCTCAAAAACTAAAAGTTATTTTTCAAAACGGGTTGGTTCATTGGAAAGAGGACACTTTTATTAACACTTTGGGAAATTTTCATATTCATATTCCAAGTATTCGATTTTATACGAATTATTAAAATTTAATCGGCGAAAATTGCAAAATTCTCGATTATTTCAAAAATTTATTTCTCAAGAACTAACAGTGATTTTTCAAAACGGCTTTTTGCATTGAAAAGAGGATACTTTAATTAATAATTGGTGATATTTGCACAAAGATCCTTCAAGAAATTAATTTTATAGCGAATTGTCATAATTTTTATCTCAGTTTTATTAATTTTTTTTTCTAATTTTTGATCAATCCTTTTTAGTATAAAAAAATGGTTAATTTTTTACCTAAAGATTCTCGTTTTTCCAAAAAATTGTCCATCCTAATTTCTTGTTCGGTGATTCCCCGTCTATTTAACGTAATGTTATTAATAGAATTTTCCAATTTTCTCCATTTAGCTTTAGCAGTTTTTTCCGAAAATCGAATTTTATTATCTAAAACTCCGTATTTATTCCTCTGTATTTTTCTCAAAATCGAAACTTCTTCTTGTTTTCGTTTCAAAACTTGTTCTTTAAGCCGATTTTGCGCCTCCATGGTTTTAATAACACTCTCATTTCTCCGCGATTCCTTCCGCAATTGGGCGATTTCTTTGAGACGTTTCGATTCGGTTTCTCTGTGCCTTTGAGATTCCTCTTTCATTTTATTTATTAATTTCACTTTCGCTCTTTTCATATCTAACAATTCATTTTTGTACGAATTTAATTGTTTTTCGTTATGATTGTGGGATTTTAATAGTCTCGCGTGTTCTTTTTGCGCTACTTGAAGCTTTTTTAATTCTTTTTGCATTTCTGATATTTTTTTGCTGTATTCTTCGCGAATTTTTTTTACACTTTCGCTTTGTTCTGGATGCGTGGATGAATAGGTATGTAATACTTTATCGCGTTCTTCTTGTGTTGATTTAATTTTTGTTGTTAGTTGCATTAATTTTTCTTCGTAATGTTGTTTCATTGTGTGCATGCGTCTTTGTGATAATTCTAGCTCGTCGATTAATTTTTGTTTCATATCTATGTCGTTTGTTAAGTTGATGAGTTCGTCGTTTAGTTTCGTTTTGTATTCTTTTTCGTCGTTTTCGCTTTCTTCTTCGCTGTCTCTATCGCTTACATCGATTTCAACTAGGCTTCTTGTAAGTACATCTTTTTCGCGTTCGAGTTTTCGTCGGGCTTCTTCTATTAGGGATGGAATTTCTCTGTCGAGGGAGCCTCTTAGACTTCCCGCGGATTCCCTGTATCTGCTTAATTGTTTGCGTAGGTGGTCGCAAGTTATGTTTGCCTCCATTAATTTCGTTCGCAAATCTTCGATTTCTTTGACGTATTCTTGGATCATATCGCTTAAGTGTCCTTTGTCGGGTTCGACCCAATTACCCATGGCTTTTTCGCTCAATAATTGGGTGTTCTTAAACGTTAAATTATCTACGGTTTCTTGCATAACTTTTATTCGCGTTCTTAAATTGTTAACCTCATCTTGTAACATGGTGTTTTCGTAAAACATGTCGTTAACGGTTTCGCAACCATCTTGGTCAATGATCCTTTTTCCTTGTTTGTATTCTATTAATTCGAGTTGTAGCTGAGCTATTTGTTGTTTCAATTGGCTAATAGTTCTAGTGCTTTTATCTTGATTAATAAATACTTTATTTTTTATGTTCCTAGCTCTATTCGCATATTTTAATGTGTTCAAAGTTTCCATAAAATCGCGATCGCTGGGACTTACGCAAGCTATCATAACCGTTCGGCTATTTCCTCCTAGACTATCTTGCAGAAGTCGTGTAAGCTTTGAATCTCTATATGGGACGTGAGTTGCTCTTTTGCTTTTATCGCCAAGGGCAGAAATGACGTTTCCCAAAGCTAATAGTCCGCAATTAATTGAAATACCTTCTTTGGCTCGATCACCTGTCGCTCCCGTGCGTTTTAAGCGCTCAGATCCGGCTAAATCAACAAAATGGAATTTCGCCGATAAAATTTCGTAACCACTAGAATCTTCTTGCTCTGTTATAAGTCGCTGCTGTTTAATATGAACCGTAAAAATCGCATGCGATCGACTCGATTGCGTATTCATTTGAGTGCTTGCAGTCGTTCTTGATAAAGCACCCACACGAAGACATTGAAGCGTTTCTTCTTCAGATATTACAGTTTGAGTCGTTACACCTTTTATTTGAATACCGCCGTATGGATCTTCATGGATTTTATAAGTGCTAGTCTAAAATGCAAAAACAATTTATTTTAAATTAATTTTTTTATTTTTTGTCTAACCTTATTATAAACTGGATTATATAAATCGATTACTTCTTCATTATACAATTCCATAAATTGCGTGGAAACTTTAAATTCGGGAGGAGGTCTTCCTTCGGATTGAAACCTGGTTATTGTATCACGAATTTCGCTAAAAATTTGTTTAATAGCCCTAGGAATGATTCCGATTTGTTCCGGGGTGACGTCAACGTCGAACCCCGATCCCATGGTGTAAGTTTTTCCAGATCCAGTTTGCCCGTAAGCTAACACCGTGGCGTTATACCTATCAGGAAAGCATTTTTTTTTATTAGAAATGAAAGTTTCGACGGATGCGGGTGAAGCGACGCCGACGATTTTTTTTAGAAAGTGAAAGGAATGATTTACGGCGTTTTAAAAATATAATAATTACCCTTCTAATGATGATAGTATTAGCGGCTCAACGCACGTCCCGTAAACTTCATCTTGCGTGTCTCCTATATCGAATACGTGATCGTATGTGAAGTATTTATCTGAACCTATGCGAACTTGAGGCTCTCCTGGTGTTACTGATGTACATACTTGGCACATATCGATTATTTCTCTTGGAATTTGTGGACGTATTCTATTAAAAAAAAACATAATATAAAAATTCATTGTAAATTTAGACCACATTTAAGTATTTTTTTTAATTTTTCCAAAAAAAAAATAAATAAATTTGATACTGCAAGGCGCGAACTCCAAAGTACGTCACTCAGATTTGAGCGAATAAAAATCAATAAAATTCCTGGAAAGAGACAATGCTACGAATCTTGTACGCTAGAAGAAAATACAAGAAAAAACGTAATCTTTAGTCGGAGGTGGGGAATTTTAAATTTTTACATTAATTATTGCAAAAATTAAACTAATCCGTCTAATTTAATTTAGATTATCGATTTATTGAAAGACGGTCTTTCTAATCGATTGTATTCTATTAAAAAAAAACATATAATATAAAAATTAATTGTAAATTTAGACAACAATAAGACCGTTAAGTATTTTTTTTTAATTTTTGATTCTGAGGCTTAATTTTTCAAAAAAAAAATAATAAAATTTTAAACTGCAGGGCGCGAACTCCAAAGTACGTCACTCAGATTTGAGCGTATAAAAATCAATAAAATTCCTGGAAAGAGACAATGCTACGAATCTTGTACGCTAGAAGAAAATACAAGAAAAAACGTCATCTGGAGTCGGAGGTGGGGAATTTAAAATGTTTACATTAATTATTGCAAAAATTAAACTAATCCGTCCAATTTAATTTAGATTATCGATTTATTGAAAGACGGTCTTCCTAATCGATTATATTCTATTAAAAAAAAAAAACATATAATATAAAAATTCATTGTAAATTTAGACAACAATAAGACCGTTAAGTATTTTTTTTTAATTTTTGATTCCGAGGCTTAGTTTTTCCAAAAAAAAAATAATAAAATTTGAAACTGCAGGGCGCGAACTCCAAAGTACGTCACTCAGATTTGAGCGAATAAAAATCAATAAAATTCCTGGAAAGAGACAATGCTACGAATCTTGTACGCTAGAAGAAAATACAAGAAAAAACGTCATCTGGAGTCGGAGGTGGGGAATTTAAAATGTTTACATTAATTATTGCAAAAATTAAACTAATCCGTCCAATTTAATTTAGATTATCGATTTATTGAAAGACGGTCTTCCTAATCGATTATATTCTATTAAAAAAAAAAAACATATAATATAAAAATTCATTGTAAATTTAGACAACAATAAGACCGTTAAGTATTTTTTTTTAATTTTTGATTCCGAGGCTTAGTTTTTCCAAAAAAAAAATAATAAAATTTGAAACTGCAGGGCGCGAACTCCAAAGTACGTCACTCAGATTTGAGCGAATAAAAATCAATAAAATTCCTGGAAAGAAACAATGCTACGAATCTTATGCGCTAGAAGAAAATACAAGAAAAAACGTCATCTGGAGTCGAGAGTGGGGAATTTTAAATTTTTACATTAAGTATTGCAAAAATTAAACTAATCCGTCTAATTTAATTTAAATTGTCGATTTATTGAAAGACGGTCTTTCTAATCGATTGTATTCTATTAAAAAAAAACATATAATATAAAAATTCATTGTAAATTTAGACAACAATAAGACCGTTAAGTATTTTTTTTTAATTTTTGATTCTGAGGCTTAATTTTTCCAAAAAAAAATAATAAAATTTTAAACTGCAGGGCGCGAACTCCAAAGTACGTCACTCAGATTTGAGCGTATAAAAATCAATAAAATTCCTGGAAAGAGACAATGCTACGAATCTTGTACGCTAGAAGAAAATACAAGAAAAAACGTCATCTGGAGTCGGAGGTGGGGAATTTAAAATGTTTACATTAATTATTGCAAAAATTAAACTAATCCGTCTAATTTAATTTAGATTATCGATTTATTGAAAGACGGTCTTTCTAATCGATTGTATTCTATAAAAAAAAACATATAATATAAAAATTAATTGTAAATTTAGACAACAATAAGACCGTTAAGTATTTTTTTTTAATTTTTGATTCTGAGGCTTAATTTTNTAGACCACAATTGTGCAAGCATTATTGCCCATCCCAAGTTTATAACAACTGCACTAATTAAGAGTACTAACAACATAAGATACACTTGTAATAAAGTCTGTAGTGTGACGCATCTCTCATATCCTCGAACAAAACTATTCAAATCAAAAAACTTTTCAACGAATAAAAAATATTAAGGCAGGAAATAGTCTTTTCAACATATAATACATATTAGAAAGAAGCAGAACTACTTTTATTTATATCTATACAGTGTTTCACTTAAAATTCCCACGCCAAGTATCTCTGGAATGGGTTGGGATATCTTAGTTTTGTAAAAAGTTGTTGTTAGAGTACGTAAATCACTTCAGTTCTAAAGTATTATTTGTGGATTTAAAAAAACATATATAAAAAATTTATTGTTTGTAAATTTAGACCACAATTGTGCAAGCATTATTGCCCATCCCAAGTTTATAACAACTGCACTAATTAAGAGTACTAACAACATAAGATACACTTGTAATAAAGTCTGTAGTGTGACGCATCTCTCATATCCTCGAACAAAACTATTCAAATCAAAAAACTTTTCAACGAATAAAAAATATTAAGGCAGGAAATAGTCTTCTCAACATATAATACATATTAGAAAGAAGCAGAACTACTTTTATTTATATCTATACAGTGTTTCACTTAAAATTCCCACGCCAAGTATCTCTGGAATGGGTTGGGATATCTTAGTTTTGTAAAAAGTTGTTGTTAGAGTACGTAAATGATTTCAGTTCTTAAGTATTATTTGTGGATTAAAAAAAACATATATAAAAATTTTTTGTTTGTAAATTTAGACCACAATTGTGCAAGTATTATTGCCCATCTCAAGTTTATAACAACTGCACTAATCAAGAGTACTAACAACATAAGATACACTTGTAATAAAGTCTGTAGTGTGACGCATCTCTCATATCCTCGAACAAAACTTTTCAAATCAAAAATCAAAAAACTTTTCAACGAATAAAAAAATATTAAGGCAGGAAATAGTCTTCTCAACATATAATACATATTAGAAAGAAGCAGAACTACTTTTATTTATATCTACAGGGTGTTTCGGTGACTCGGGGAACAAATGTAACCTAGTATACTAGAGTGAAAATGATGACGATCCATGTAAAAGAAGTTAGTAAAAGTCCTCAAATTGCAAAAATACAGGCCATCAAAGTTATGAAATTTTAACACATTTTTCTAAATATCTTAAACACTATTTATGGTAAAGCGTTGAAATTTGGTACAGTGTAAACNTACTAATCCGTCTAATTTAATTTAGATTATCGATTTATTGAAAGACGGTCTTTCTAATCGATTGTATTCTATTAAAAAAAAACATATAATATAAAAATTAATTGTAAATTTAGACAACAATAAGACCGTTAAGTATTTTTTTTTAATTTTTGATTCTGAGGCTTAATTTAAAAAAAAAAATAATAAAATTTGAAACTGCAGGGCGCGAACTCCAAAGTACGTCACTCAGATTTGAGCGTATATAAATCAATAAAATTCCTGGAAAGAGACAATGCTACGAATCTTGTACGCTAGAAGAAAATACAAGAAAAAACGTCATCTAGAGTCGGAGGTGGAGAATTTTAAATTTTTACATTAACTATTGCAAAAATTAAACTAATCCGTCTAATTTAATTCAGATTATCGATTTTTTGAAAGACGGTCTTTCTAATCGATTGACCTTAACGGCCCTATTGTGCCAGTATTATTGCCCAACCTAAGTTTATAACTTTATATATTGGGCAAACAGGTCGTAGACTTGATTTAAGACTACAGGAACATAAAACAAAGAACTCAACGATCAAGTTGATACTTTTTACACCCCATTATACTCCTTCTTATCAAAAAGCAAGAAAAGAAAAACCAAACAAATAAAATTAAAAAAAATTCATGTAAAATTTCCATTATTGTGTGCTGTGTTCGTCTTGTTGTACGTTTCATTTTAATTTGTAACATATTTATTTAATTTTAACTTGTTACCATAGTTTATTTATGTAAATTTTAATATTTTAATATTCAATGTGTTATTTTTATAAAATTCAACGTTAACATTTTCTTCATTTATGACGTAAGTTATATAATTTTTATAACGATATTAGATTTTGTTGTGATTTTCTTTTTGCAAAGATTTTGGCTGATGATGACCTTTATGTGTCGAAACCGGTTCCAATAAATATTTAAAATATAAGCAAGTAAGAAGTTTTTTATATTTTTATATGTATATATACATTTTCCCATACACAAGTTTATAACAACTGCACTAATCAAGAGTACTAACAACATAAGATACACTTGTAATAAAGTCTGTAGTGTGACGCATCTCCCATATCCTCCAAAAAAACTTTTCGAATCAAAAATCAAAAACTTTTCAACGAATAAAAAATATTAAGGCAGGAAATAGTCTTCTCGACATATAATACATATTAGAAAGAAGCAGAACTAGTTTTATTTATATCTATACAGTGTTTCACTTAAAATTCCCACGCCAAGTATCTCTGGAATGGGTTGGGATATCTTAGTTTTGTAAAAAGTTGTTGTTAGAGTACGTAAATCACTTCAGTTCTAAAGTATTATTTGTGGATTTAAAAAAACATATATAAAAAATTTATTGTTTGTAAATTTAGACCACAATTGTGCAAGCATTATTGCCCATCCCAAGTTTATAACAACTGCACTAATTAAGAGTACTAACAACATAAGATACACTTGTAATAAAGTCTGTAGTGTGACGCATCTCTCATATCCTCGAACAAAACTATTCAAATCAAAAAACTTTTCAACGAATAAAAAATATTAAGGCAGGAAATAGTCTTTTCAACATATAATACATATTAGAAAGAAGCAGAACTACTTTTATTTATATCTATACAGTGTTTCACTTAAAATTCCCACGCCAAGTATCTCTGGAATGGGTTGGGATATCTTAGTTTTGTAAAAAGTTGTTGTTAGAGTACGTAAATCACTTCAGTTCTAAAGTATTATTTGTGGATTTAAAAAAACATATATAAAAAATTTATTGTTTGTAAATTTAGACCACAATTGTGCAAGCATTATTGCCCATCCCAAGTTTATAACAACTGCACTAATTAAGAGTACTAACAACATAAGATACACTTGTAATAAAGTCTGTAGTGTGACGCATCTCTCATATCCTCGAACAAAACTATTCAAATCAAAAAACTTTTCAACGAATAAAAAATATTAAGGCAGGAAATAGTCTTTTCAACATATAATACATATTAGAAAGAAGCAGAACTACTTTTATTTATATCTATACAGTGTTTCACTTAAAATTCCCACGCCAAGTATCTCTGGAATGGGTTGGGATATCTTAGTTTTGTAAAAAGTTGTTGTTAGAGTACGTAAATCACTTCAGTTCTAAAGTATTATTTGTGGATTTAAAAAAACATATATAAAAAATTTATTGTTTGTAAATTTAGACCACAATTGTGCAAGCATTATTGCCCATCCCAAGTTTATAACAACTGCACTAATTAAGAGTACTAACAACATAAGATACACTTGTAATAAAGTCTGTAGTGTGACGCATCTCTCATATCCTCGAACAAAACTATTCAAATCAAAAAACTTTTCAACGAATAAAAAATATTAAGGCAGGAAATAGTCTTTTCAACATATAATACATATTAGAAAGAAGCAGAACTACTTTTATTTATATCTATACAGTGTTTCACTTAAAATTCCCACGCCAAGTATCTCTGGAATGGGTTGGGATATCTTAGTTTTGTAAAAAGTTGTTGTTAGAGTACGTAAATCACTTCAGTTCTAAAGTATTATTTGTGGATTTAAAAAAACATATATAAAAAATTTATTGTTTGTAAATTTAGACCACAATTGTGCAAGCATTATTGCCCATCCCAAGTTTATAACAACTGCACTAATTAAGAGTACTAACAACATAAGATACACTTGTAATAAAGTCTGTAGTGTGACGCATCTCTCATATCCTCGAACAAAACTATTCAAATCAAAAAACTTTTCAACGAATAAAAAATATTAAGGCAGGAAATAGTCTTCTCAACATATAATACATATTAGAAAGAAGCAGAACTACTTTTATTTATATCTATACAGTGTTTCACTTAAAATTCCCACGCCAAGTATCTCTGGAATGGGTTGGGATATCTTAGTTTTGTAAAAAGTTGTTGTTAGAGTACGTAAATGACTTCAGTTCTTAAGTATTATTTGTGGATTTAAAAAAACATATATAAAAAATTTATTGTTTGTAAATTTAGACCACAATTGTGCAAGCATTATTGCCCATCCCAAGTTTATAACAACTGCACTAATCAAGAGTACTAACAACATAAGATGCACTTGTAATAAAGTCTGTAGTGTGACGTATCTCTCATATCCTCCAACAAAACTTTTCAAATCTAAAATTAAAAAACTTTTCAACGAATAAAAAAATATTAAGGCAGGAAATAGTCTTCTCTACATATAATACATATTAGAAAGAAGCAGAACTACTTTTATTTATATCTATACAGTGTTTCACTTAAAATTCCCACGCCAAGTATCTCTGGAATGGGTTGGGATATCTTAGTTTTGTTAAAAGAGTATTATTTGTGAACATATTCTATTCAAAAAACATAAAAATTCATTGTTTGTAAATTTAGACCACAATTGTGCAAGTATTATTGTATAAAACCGCTCCTATACCAGGTGCATATTCTTGACGAAAAAAGTTTACCCTGCCCACACGCGACCGCGGTTTTGTCATGGTGTTTGCACCGGAGAATCAAGGTTCCACAGTTTTCAAAGTTTTTTTTTTCTTTAAAAATAAAAAATAAATAAATATATCAAGACGATTTCATCTCAACGATTTTGTCTAATCGAATTTAGCGAGATGTTCTTTTTACTTCCACCGACCGGTCGTGGTGTTGATGAAGGTTACTCTTCCCACGCCAGACATGTAGGCGAAGGAGAGACTATTGCATAAGCGTTTGAGTTTCACACCGTTCATTTATACATGCATATTTTCAAACCATATGCCTAAATAAAAATAATAAAAATATATAATAATAAAAAATATTTTGGAATTGTCTTCAAATTTTGTATATATCATCGAAACATAAAAAAAATTGCTAATAAATTTGCGTAAGCGGATCATTTAAAATTTAAAAATAAACATGATACAACTCCCCACGCGGCCTTTAACGTAATAGTAATAATTACTTAGTTGCAGGTACAATTTGCACGTTTAAATTGTGTTTATATAGCGTAAGCTGCACGTTACCAGTAGGTCTCTAAAGGTGTATTTTTGGGTTGTATCCTTTATTTTCGAGTTAAGACGGTGCGAAGAAGTGAATGAACTTGCCTCTTCTTTAACCTTCCTATTTAAAATGTATATATATATATTTTTTTATTATCAAAAGATAGAATCTAGATAATAATTTAAGATTGCGCAACTTCGACATTTAAATTTTAAAAGAAAATCTATTCGAGTTGGATTAAACTTTCGTCGATTTTGTTGCGTAACTAAAAACTTTTTTACCTCAGGGGAATAATAATAATGTTAGATAAACTCAAAACCGTGTCTGTCCTTCTAGATTCGAGTGACGTCATTCGCGGATCTTATTTGGACTTTTTCATAAGAGGAAAACTATTGATTTTTTCATTACGGAGATGGATAATTTAAACGATATCGATTTGCACGGTTCGGTTAACAATATTAATAGCATGACGCTAATCCCATATTTATTGACAGTAAAAACACCTGTTAGTATACGTCGATAACTTATCTATCGAAAAACGTTTTAATTTAATTATACGATAACTTTAATAAAAATTAAAAAAAATTTTTTTAATAACATACCTGACCGCCACTCTTACTGAAACATCGTCTTCCATGGTAAAAACAATTTTTTACTATTAAACTGAATTTATAATACAACTATCATTGGAACGGATAAAAGAAAGAACAAATACTTTATATTTCGCGGTCATTTTCAAATTTTTGGTCACATCTCGTTGACGATCTAAAAAACAAAGTGAACGAAGTGGCAACATCGGACCGAAAAGTTATCGCACGATAAGTATCTTTTTATATTCAACCAGACCGCGGTGAACGCGCATTCGAACTCGAATTTTTTGAACCGGACAATGCTAATTATCAATAAAAACAAATGCACAACTATGACTTGGGCACTGCTATGTAGTGCCTCCGTAGCTTAGCGTCCATCCCCTCTACCTGGAACATCTGTTTCAGTTCCTATGTGTGGTGAGGTTAACACAGTTTGGGAAGGTACGAAGTATGATCGGTAACAACACGGTACTGCTACAAAATTATTCCCGATACAAAGGAGAAACAAAAAAAATTATTCCGCATACCTTTGTATTAACTATTTTTATTTCATGGTTAATATTATCAAATTTTTGATAACTAATCCTATCTTAATTTTATAGCATTTCAGATATTTTGCGCATGCGTGCAAAAATTTTCATTAAAACATTTCCTCTTCAGAAATTTGAACTTTCTATCAGCCGGTGTGAGTCAATATTTATTAAATGATTACGTTGATACATATTTTCTACAGTAAACATCTGATAAAAGAAACTTGGTTGAGTTAAGTGTTTTCATTATCTTTTATAAAACAACTTTTTACTGATTTAGCACTTTATAAAGTGATGAAACAAAAATATTTATGACTTTCTTTAATATATTTCGTTCCTAATATTGTGTCGCCATCTTTTAAGATTAGAATTAACTTTTACAGGAATCTGTTTTTAAAAATTTTTTTAAATAATCTATATCAGATAAAGCTAGTCATCATATTGCGTACTCAGGTTTATTGGGAAGGACATTGTGTGCTGTTTACTCGGTGTAATCGCAAAGATGAAAAGTCAAATTTTTATCCACCTTAATCCAAGCCATTAATATCGCAGAACTACTTTTATTTATATAATAATAATAATAATAAATGACTTTATTGTCTCCATTACAAAGAAGCAACTACAATACAAATATATACATAATATATGGAGATCAAGAATAGTCTGTTCTATCCAACCGTAAAATAAAAAAAAAAAATCTATGAATAATAACAAATAAAAAGAAAAAAAAACAAAGGCAAAATCTTGAAATCATTAATACAGTATCACCCGCATCATATCAAATCTAAATTTAAACATAATTAA